CTCTTTACATACAGATCCCCTGTGTCTCACCCACTCTCTCTCCCTCTATCTACATATCTGTTTATCTCTCAATCTCTGCCGTGTTCTCTCATCTGTACGTGTGGGTGTTTAAATATCACGAGTTTACGAATTCGTTTCTATCCGATTCACAGGCTTGCACATGTAATCAACCAAATGTATATGGCACTCGATTGTCGAGTCTCTGATCCGGCATCACAGACCACTACCATGGCGCGAATATCTTCATCGTGGGCTGTTTGGCTTTAATGATACCGGTCCGCTACATGAGGTATGGCCTGATTCGAAATCCTGACAGGAGCCAACTCGTATGATGGGCATCGACAGGCTCCATATTGCTTGGTCGTCGGGCCCTGTTGTCAAGGCCCTATAGACAGATTCACCTGAGAGGCTGAAAGACTGTCGTCAAGTGGTGTATACGATTCATACAGTTTTGGGCTGGCGAGAACTTTCACTTCTGCCTGTCGCTTCAATCGACCAAATAGAAGGCTCCGCTGGCCAGAGTTCTCGAAGCATACGAAAAAACAAAACAGACGACGCAAGGGAACTCTTGTCCGAGGCCCACTCCAACGGGCCGAGGCAGAGGGTTGAGACGAGAGGATCACTCGGGAAGCCTTGCTCTCAATCAATCATTCTCCCGCTGAAGCGTGACTTTCAGACCTCCTTACGAGACACAATGGGCAGCCACAACTGCTGGGAAGGGGGCACGAGATGGGGGAATACTGTACCCTACTGGCCGGTTGCCTTGGTCTTCCTCTACGTGTCAATTCCCTTTTTGGGCCAGCACTACCTGTTCGCCTATTCAGGCCGAGCTGTGAGTTGGTGATGAGGCTACTTCGGTTCTGCCCACCAGGCCATGGCGTTTAAAGTTATCAGGAGCCATTCTAACGTGACTAGCCTATTGCAGGTGGTCCCTAGGTTGGGTTGAGTGGGAAGAAAGAGTGCCTACGAAGAGCCAGTCGTAGGTGGCCAGCTCCTCAAGCCGTCAAAATCCACTTGATGGCTGGCTGGCTGGCTGGCTGGCTGGCTGGCTGGCTGGCTAGCTGGCTGACTGGGAGAAAGGACAAAGGTAATTAGGCATATTCACACAAAGTGATATTCAAGACTATGAGTAAATCTTGAATAAAAGTTGCAATCATCCTGGGTCACATAAGGTGATGAAGGACTGATGGTCAAATTTTCCCACATTTATATGAATAGGCGTTATGATTCCATGGAAGTTTGCACACCATTGCTTCTTATAAGTTATTCTTGTCCAGGCTGGACTTGACTACAATTTCGATCTCGCTCGGGTCCTATTAGCATTACTTTATGTGAACATAAGTAGCCTAGTCGATTGTAATCAAAGAATATGAGTTTGACTTACCGACGGTCCCACAATCGTGTATGAAGTCAAAGAGGCTTGGCCTTTCTTGAAATCTACGTAGGCCCTGTGAAATAGGGGCACCTGTGGCAGTACATTATGAGAGTAAAGTGTCGATATTATGCTCTGTACCATCATGACTCAAGCCCCTCAGGGACACTGATACGACCAGTTTATGCAAGCTGTAAACCGTAGTCTAATATGGCCTGGATGAGCATACCTTTAGTAAGGCAAGGATATAGAAATGTGAGTACTGAGAAAA